GGAGCTCTGCCTTTCAATTAAGAAGTAAAAAGTTTTCAGTACAGGGTGCCTTTCAATTAAGAAGGAAAGATTTTTAAGTACAGAGTGGGCAAAGGCCCAAAAGAGATCCAGCTCCAAGCGTGGTCAGAAGGAGGTGGGGTGAGTTTGGGTAGGGAGGCACCACTAATCGAAGACAAAAGTGCCCTTTAGGTAGGTTGCAAACGATGTTTTGTATTCAGCAGAGAGGAGCACCGCACTAAAAACCAGAAAATAACTATCAATAGGATGCCAACTCTTTGTGGACAGCCTAAAATTCCTTAGTTGATGCCACGGGGTAGTCTTGATGGTATTCCATCATTTGTCGTGATATTGAAGCCATTTTCATTTTTAGTGCAAAATATATTGGATATTCAGTGAAGAGCGAGCAGGGGTCTACAAAGCAGTTCAGTGTTCAAAATTCGCTGTTGGAAACAAATTTTAGCTATGCATTTTCTGTTAAATGGCATCGATTTTTCTATTGGAATTGCACCATGTGAGAGTTAGAAGATAGCTGAGAGCACACAGAAATTCATTATTTCTTTTATATACTGTAAGATTTAACAAGTTATGAAACTAGAAATCAGATAGCATGTATTGAGCAAACTTTCATTTTAGAATACCAGTGAAAATCTGCATTTATGTCAGCACCAAATTGTGTTTTATTGGTAAAAATTTTTAGTCATTCAGAATAAAGTCATTGTTGCATAAAGCTAAAATTAAAAGCTTACTTTTCCAGCTGAGCATATATTTCTGCAATTTTCTGTGTCATGCTGTTTGCCTGAGAGGATTGTCCCTCACTATCAAAAAGATCAGCAGCTCGATTCAGGTAGACTGCAGCATTCTCTAAATCTTGTTCTTGCTGATAGATTTCACCGATATCCTGAAATGTCCAAATTCAAGGCCATCATTTTGGCGCTTCCAGATAATAATAATATATAATTCTTCTGTTCTTGTAAAAGAAAACATAATCCAAGTGTATTGGTCAGTAAAATTGATATGTAGGTTAATCCTTTATAGTACAAGAACTGGAAAATAAGAAAATAAAATATAGGCATCAATGTGATCATCTAATATTAAATCATAATTAATAATGTATATGACCTTGCTGTATCTTGCAGCCATATTCAGTCTACCGATTTCCAGGAAAAGATTAACAGCATTGTTAAGTGCTTGTGCAGCATCTGCATGAAACGTTATATGTAACAGTTAGTAGAGCAAGTTGTAGCACGAACAGTCATGCCAAGGGGATCAAACTTCATTTTGTTGGTTGGATTAATGATTTGTTTAGTTGCAGAAAGTACTCGTGATACATAGCCTTAATGTTTCTTTGATTGCATTAAAACAATTATTGTTAAAGGGACATGCCATATTTTGCATGCTAGCTGCTAGTTGTCCCAAGGGTAGCCAACTATGGAAAGAGGTAGACATATTTAGCCAGAAGGAACAAATCAAACAGCATAACTTGGACAACTGAATGATTTTCACTAGCTCCAATAATTGATATTCTAGAAAATATGAAGGATGTATCGAATTGTATGGCTAGCTAGAAAATGTATGAAATGAAGAATAACAACAAAGGAGGATATTCATCATACTCTGGTAAGTGTATATAGAAGTACCTTGTGGTGAGAACTTTTTGTAGCAGTTTGCTGCCTCAACATAAGCAGAGGCAGCCTCGTGCTTGCTATCTCCCTATAAAACAAACATCAGCAGCATAGTCTCATAATTTAATTTCCACGATGACATGCAATGGTATGCAGAAAAAACAAAAAGGAAAAGCCAAACAAACCTGCAAATGACAATCTGCAATCTTTTTGTATACCGCAGCTGCTCTGCTCCCTATAGCAAATAGTTACAATGATTAACAAGGATAAGAAGTTTTTCTTTTCCTTAAATACAAAGGAGTAGTTGATAAATTCCAGTATGACAAGATAAATCTGCAATTTCAGATTCTCACTCATGGATAGCAAATGGATTCGAGAGGACAACAGGGCACAGTAGCTACTGAACATGCATATCAGCAGTTCAGTATCCCTAATGGATAAGTCGGATGTGAAACCATTACAGTGGGATATGGGACACAATTCAATATTGAAAGAGACAAATTATGCGGCCTATAAAAAAATAAACGGATCTGATAATCGTAACTTCGCAATTTTTGCATTTCAGACCATAGAACAGATGAAACTGCACATGGATGGTAGTACCAGGGAGCTCAATATTAAGATCGGCCTAATGGCGTCGATAAATTTCGTCGAAATCACGAGTATCATGTAACCTCTCCCCCAATCAAAATCACTTATATATATGAAACAATAAACCTAGATCTCAGAAATCGCATTTCCGTACGTATCACCGCGATACCCAGCGAAACGACATCATCAGACACCAACATACGATCGATCGCGCCTTGATGTCTCAACACCAGCACACGGATGCGAGATTGCCAAACGATGCAAAAGAGGGAACAGGGGGCTCACAGTTCTTCGCGAGTTTGAAGAAATTGCCGGCCCTGTCGAGGAGGTCGGCGGCTTCCTCGTACTTGTTGCCGAAGAGGCCCCATCCGGACAGCTTCTGATCGGCCTTCTTCTCGAAATCGTCCCCGCGACCCTCGTGGTCGCCCATTCCTCTCTCTCTCTCTCTCTCCGGCTGCTGCCGTACGAGGACGTGGTTGCGCGCGTTGCTAGTTTGCTACCGATCGGTGGCGGTGGCGGTGGACGGTGGTGCGGTACTGCGGTGCCGTGCGGAGTGCGAATTGCTGCGACGGGGCACCTGGCGCCTTCTTGTTGGGTTGCGGCCTGCGGGGAAGTGGGGACGGGCCATGTGAGATATGTTCCCGACTCCCGAGTTGGGTACTCCCTCCGGTTCTCTAAAGCAAGTCGTTTTGAGGTTATTTAAGTCAAACATTTTAAATTTTGACTACAAATAATTTCTTTTGGGTTGAGTTTGAAAACATGAAAGTGATGTAAGTAGATTCATCTCGAAATGTAGTTTCATAAAAGTATATATTAACTATATTTTATAAATATTTTATAGCAAAAAATTACAGTCAAAGTCGTTTCTTAAAGACCGTGTTAATGTCCAAAACGACTTGCTTTAGAGAACCGAAGGGAGTACTTGGGTTCCACCAGGCCCACAGGTGAATAGTCCAATAACTTTTTTTTATCTATTTTAATTTGCTAAAAAGTCTACATAGGTGGATATTATAAAATCAAAGTGAATTCTTCCAACTGCCTTTTTTTTTACTCTCACAATACACTTACATCGCACATATCTCGTCCGTGGTCTGGATTCACAAATATAGAGTCCAATTTTAAGATGTATTATAACAGATGACGCAATTATTAAATAAAACTCATGAGCCAAAAATCATCTAAATATTCGCATAAAATAAGTTGCATATTCTATTATAATACACAGACATGTTCCAATCAAAAAGGCAAAAATAGAGCACAACGGTCCAAAAAGGCAAACAGGCCATCGTTACACGAGTGTTTATCAAATTAATAATAACATAATCCCTTCCCTTCCGGACAAATATTTTTATATCTCTAAATAGCTATACTATTTTATGAATAATCTAATATATTTATTTGATATTATGAAAGTTAGTATCTTTTACAAATTTAGTTGAATTTAAAATTATTTGCATTTTTTAATGGAGAGAAAAAATTATCATAGAAGTGTCCGTTGACATTGGACCGCCGAAACGGCTTCTGGGCTTGTTTAGATCCGGTTAGGAATCAGTATTCGGCACTGTAGCATTTTCGTTTGTATTTGACAATTATTATTCAATCATGGTCTAACTAGGCTTAAAAGATTTATCTCGTAATTTACAATCAAACTGTATAATTAGTTATTTTTTTTATCTACATTTAATACTCCATGCATATATCTAAAGATTTAATGTGATAGAGAAAGAGTGAAAAAACTTGGAACCTAAGCGAGGCCAGGAAGGAAGGGATCCTATACTACGTGACGTCAGTGGTCTGACGTCCAAACGGCTACTGTCAAAAAAAAAACATAGCCCTTGTTTAGTTCTTCTAAACATATAAACATACGAAAAAGTGCACTATGTAAAAAGAAGATTACTCATCACATTAAATTTGCGGTACATACATGGAGTATTAAATGTAGACGAAATCAAAAACTAATTACACAGTTTGTTTTAACTTTGCGAGACAAATTTTTTAAACCTAATTAATCAATGTTTGAACAATAATTTATAAATACAAACAAAATACTACAATGGAGAATCTTCGCTATGCAAAGTTTACCTGCCCAACTAAACACCGCCATAATTTGCCGAAAAAGCGCGCACGGCGCACCGAAAGTGCGGCCTGACAACTGACGAGACGAGACGAGACTCGATTGAGACTACCTCTAAAAACTTTTCACCTACGCCTTATTTAAATTGAAAAAAATTTCAAACCGATGAATAGTAACATTTTTGTTTTATTTGTAAATATTATTTAATCATGGACCAATTAAGCTCAAAAGATTCATCTCGTGATTTCCAATTAAATTGTGTAATTGTTTTTTTTTTACCTATATTTAATGCTCCATGCAAACGGCTAAAAATTGATGTAATGGAGAAAGAGTGAAAAAACTTGGAATTTTGAGGGTGTCTAAACAAGGCCCTAATTGCAAATGTCACACTAAATCTTACGGCACATACATAAAATATTAAATATAGATAAAAAAAATTAATTATACAGGAAAAAAACTAATTATATAACTGAGTTAAAAATCGCGAGACTAAACTTTCAAACAGGACGGCCTTTGCTTCCGACCGAAGTCTCCTCGCTCCTCGGTCAAGTCTCGGTGTGCGCGGGTCGGCGCCTCGGCGGGTGTCAAGTCAAGGGACAGCAACAGCGCGGCCCCAGCCCAAGCGCCGCCCCTCCATCGTTTCCTCTTCCTCCCTCCCAATTGCTCGCCGAAACCTCACCAGTGACCAGTCACCACCACCACCACCAACCACCATGGATGGTTCCGCCTCCCCCTCCGCGGCCGCAGTCGAGACTGATACGCGGGGAGGAGAAGCTCCGTCCAAAGCCAAGCGAGGCAACGGTACGATCAACGGAAACTGATGCCACCTCAATCTGCTTCGTTGTGTACCAGTAGCACCTTAGTTCGCTAGTGTTTACTCTTCCCTAGATGAAAACGATGTCCTTACTGAGATCTATAGTTACTCTTTTTTTTTTTTTGCGAGAGGAGATCTATAGTTCCTGTACTTTCTTTTATAAGGGTATTTGTAGTTCCTTTTTGAAAAACCCCGTTGTGATTATTACTGATTACTACTGCTGTTGTATTCTAGTGTAATAACAATTTCATGGCTGCTTCGGTTTCACCGTAAGTTACTTATAACTTATGGTGATCTGTTGTAGGAGTTGTCATTATGAACTAGTTCGTGTAAGGACTGCTGTTACAGTTCAAGCTTTCAACTAAATGGAACCTCACCCGTTCGAAACTGATGTCATTATTTTGATTAGTGTCATGCATCTGCTTAATGTTAGATTTGTGATAACAATGCTTGCCATGCCTTATTCAGCCGAGGAGAAATATCAACATGGACAGCCAGTTTACTTTCCAGAGGAACTAGTGGACAAATGGGTTTCTTTTTCTCTTCGTGGCCTGTACTATTGCTACAACATCTCGCTGCAAGGGTCTTGCAACACAACTGCTGATCCCACCGACATAATTTTAGCTGTCAAATGTGACTTGGGACCTGACTTCCTTCGGTACTCTTTTAACTCGGGTGGTATTGAAGTTACCATTAAGTACTTGCACTTGATTCATCTGAATCAAGAACAGGTAAATATGGAATGATGCTATCTTTTTTTCTTAATCTCAGGTTCCTGTTTTTAGTTTCTTTTATCAATATATGTTAGTATTTTAAGTGTGAGAGGTCTTCTGCATTGTACAACATTTTTGCTTCTTCAGGTAATTTTTGCTAGAAGATTCCAGACCACGGTTCTTTGTTTGCTCATTAACAGTGACCATTCGGAGGTCAGCAATGCTATAAAATACTTCCATGAACTGCAAGTAGATGTGGGGGTAGTCTATCTACTTCTGCCCACAGTGTATGGCAAAATTGATTGGTGTGGTATCAAGTTCTCAACTTCATCAGTATATGATGATGTGACTGATAAAAATTCGAGACATTGCCATTCTTGTAAAGATGCTGATATACTGCAGACAATGGATGATCCTTGCTGCAGGTGCATACTTCAGAATTCTGTTGTCTATGCCCCTCGTGATGGAAACTTTTATAATATTACAGACCTTGACCTAAATGTAAACCAACCTTTGGATTTGAACAATAGGACTGCTGTTAGCTGCAAAAGGTATTAAGATTAGATTTATATTTGTCCTTATATTTGTTATGTGAAGGGCGGGCCTGGTGCAAGCGGTAGAGTCTTACCGCCTGTGACGGGAAGGTCCCGGGTTCGAGTCGCGGTCTCCTCGCATTGCACAGGCGAGGGTAAGGCTTGCCACTAACACGCTTCCCCAGACCCCGCACAGAGCGGGAGCTCTCTGCACTGGGCACGCCCCTTTTTTTATATTTGTTATGTGCTCCTGTAATTGGTAGAATTTACATCCAACAATTGGTATTCTTTTTGTATGCTCTGGATATGGCCCACATTTTACCTCTGAAAGCAAACTACTGTTGGTTGCCAATGGATTATTCACAGTGCAAAACTTCCTCTACAAATGCTACGAAAAAAGGAAAGGTTGTTTTCTGTTAACAGTACCAATATTTTTGCCTCTTGATATCTTGTTCTAACAGCATATATAAATTCGTTATTACGCACGATATTTTTGCCTCTTGATAGTGCAAAACTTCCTCTACAAATCATATCATGTTAGCATATATCTTGTTCTAACAGTATATACAACCACCAATTAGCCTTACATGAGTGATACCATTCGATTTGTATTTGAAAGCACTATCTTATAAGATAAAATATAGGTCAAAGTATAATTTTGGAGACCACGCCTAGTCAAACCGCACCTTATATTGAAATGGAGGGATTAATTTAGTAAGTAAATTCCATGCAAAAGAAAAGGTATGCACATGTAATTTTCCACTCTCAGAAGACAGAGAATGAGGTTAGAAGTGTTGTAGCCTGTGACCCTACTGCTGTTAATAGGCTATGCATGATGTTAACTTATCCTTTTCCTTTCTTCAGAACCTGGGAGTGTTAAGTTGCCACCTGAACTCTGCAGAGTAGTCATGGCACCAGTGTCGACAAATACTTTGTTCAGCTTCTCATTTGTTCCTTCCATAATGTACCGTATCCAGTGTCTGCTTCTTTCTGCAAAGTTGAAAATCCAGTTGGGCCCAAGAATGCAACAGTTCAACATAGCAGCTATGAAGGTTCTCTTTTTCTCAGCAGTTATTTACTCCACTAATAGCTGTAGTACGCAACTAGATACTAAGGTTAACTGGATGAGCTTTTAAGCTACAAAAGAATTTCAGTTGCTCTTATTTTGTCGAGGTGTTGAGAATAAAGAATGTCAATGCATTACATGTTACTGAACAGCAGTTTTTTAAAAAAAGAAGAACAGATGGCTTGCTTGTATTATGCTTAATTTCTAAACTAATAGCAACATTGGTTAATGCTTAACTATTTCGTTTCCTATGAATTTGAAGTTAGCAAGCTGTATCATGTGCAGATTCTGGAAGCACTTACAACAAAGGAATGCCAGGAGACTATTTCACTGGAATCATTAGAAACACTTGGGGATTCTTTCATTAAGTATGTTACAGGCCAAAATCTTTTTAGCAAATACAAGCATCGAGAGGACATACTGACCTCTATGAGGGAAGAAAAGGTCACCAACGCAGCTCTATGTCAGCTAGGTTGCAAAAGCGAACTTGTGGTACTGAAGATCTTCTAATCTGTTTTGCATGCCTTTTTTTCAACTTAGTACTGAAGTGTAATAGTTGGTTAAACTTTCTGAATGAAGTAGTTTGTGATTGAAACTAACACTTATCGTTGCCAAGGTCCAGATAACCCCTAAACTAACGTTTTGTTCGATTTACTCCCCCAACTACTTCAGTTGCTCCAGTTTACCCTGAACAAGATCTATCTTTTTTGTGTCTCCATGTGCAAGTTAAGTTTTAATTCAAATTTTGTGAGATAATAGTGGACATCATATTTTATGTCAAATATATATGATGAATTTTTCATCGTTATGTTTCATACAATTTTATATCTCTAGTGCTAATTTATTGTCGACCAATCAAATGATGATGATTTTTTTTATGTATTTTTAACATAAATTATTATGTCATCTGTCACCTCACAAAATTTGAAATTAAAACTCAACTTGTACACAGAGAAACAAAAAAAATCTTTGTATGGGGTAAATTGGACCAACTGAAATTGTTGGGGGAGTAAATCGAACCAAATGTTTTTAGGTTTATTTGGACATAGTCCAAACTTGAGGGGAGTAATTTGGACCTTTTCTTTTAAATCAAAAAGAAAATAATTTTGTTCACTTAAAGTCATATTACTAGTGATGAATGTTCGCACCGTGGTTCAAATGACCTTGTTTAGAGCAGTCTTTTCATAGGAAAAATGTTGCAGGAACTGTTATGCTTTCTACAAAATTTCTGTGCTGCAAACAGGCATGCCAGCTAAGATCATGTTGCGAGCAATATTTTCATGGAAGTCCTACTGGAGATGTAGATTTCGTTTTCTGTCCATTACTTTGTTACAAGTTTTAAAGGTGCTTTTTGATAATACTGTTATCCACAATTTTTTACCATGTTATGCAATGAAACACTAAGCCAAATGGACCAAAATTTGCCACCATTATCGACAAATTACTCTACTCTTTGTAAGTACAGAGATAGAATCATTTTAGTTACTTTATCATCTCCTTCATTACTTAAATTAATTTATATGTTTACTTTCAGGTCTATATAACATTAATATATTTTTTCTTGTTTGGCAGGGATACATTCGAGGTGAATTGTTTAACCCAAAAAAATGGACCATTCCAGGGCTTGGCTATGACACACGTGGAAACAACAAAGTTTTCTTCCGAACAACCAATAATATGTACAGTCTGGAGGAAGTATCCATAAAAAGCAAGAGAATTGCTGATACAGTTGAAGCCTTGACTGGGGCCTACCTCAGTGCTTGTGGTGAACTGGCAGCAGTTCATTTCATCAAATCACTAGGAATGGATGTAGAACTGCATAGTAAAATGCAAGTTGAAAGGATTATTACAACAAAATCTGAAGAATTCATTGACGTGAAAAGCTTGCAGACAATCCTCGGTTATGTGTTCGATGACAGCTCACTGTTAATAGAAGCATTGACACATAGTTCCTACAATATTGCTGGTATTACAGCTTGCAATGAGGTTAATCTCGATGACTTAATGCACTTTGATCTTCAGTAGCAATCGTTTATATTTTTTCGTATTTAATTGCAAACAATTCTTTTTCAAAGTTAACAATATTTTTGCAGTTGAGTAATCTGCAGCATTGAGATGGGTAGTTCAGTAGTTTTTCAGTTAATCCAAAGGGCGTGAATATGTAACATAAAGACTAACCCAAGCCATGGAATGGACTACTAACTTTTAATACAATGAAAAATTGTTCTCCTGCGTGAGGGGAAAAATAATGTTTTGCAGTTCTTTGATGCACCCTTGACATGCAAGAACATAGACAAAATTGTCTGTTCAGAAGTAAAATACCATTTGTGTTAAAAGAAGTTAATAAAAGGGTTAATACAATTAATAAATTATAATTTCATACATTTCCTTGTACTTCTCTGATTCTCTCCTATTGGTAGATTTTTAGACTCCTTTGCTGTTGGTATTATTTAGCCACCTTTAGTAATTCTAAAAAGGGCGTACCCAGTGCAGAGAGCTTCCGCTCTGTGCGGGGTCTGGGGAAGGGTGTAAGTGGCAAGCCTTACCATCGCCTGTGCAATGCGACTCGAACCCGGGACCTTCCGGTCACGCACCGGAAGGTCCCGGGTTCGAGTCGCGGTCTCCTCGCATTGCACAGGCGAGGGTAAGGCTTGCCACTTACACCCTTCCCCAGACCCCGCACAGAGCGAGAGCTCTCTGCACTGGGTACGCCCTTTTTAGAATTACTAAAGGTGGCTAAATAATACCAACAGCAAAGGAGTCTAAAAATCTACCAATAGGAGAGAATCAGAGAAGTACAAGGAAATGTATGAAATTATAATTTATTAATTGTATTAACCCTTTTATTAACTTCTTTTAACACAAATGGTATTTTACCCCAGATGGCTTTTTATGGGTAAACTTAACAAGTCCGTGCCCGTGTGCAGAGGCTTGAATTTCTCGGAGATGCTGTATTGGACTACATCTTAACTGATTACTTTTACAGAAAGTACTACCCCAATTGTACACCAGCTCTGTTGACAAATCTACGAAAAGCTTCTGTGAACAACTGTTGCTATGCACATGCAGCTGTTAAAGCAGGGTTACACAAGCATATTATTATTCATTCCTCATTAAAACAGATGATTAACGATCTTGAGAATTCAGGGTGGTCATTTTCAGGCCCATCGCATGGTTGGGAACCTGGCATTGGTCTACCTGAGGTGTGTCTTTTTGAATGTTCAGTTTTTCTAGGTTTCTTTAAAAGACATGTTTCATGCATTCCTAGGACCATGAAAACACACGTGCCCCCTTTTTTTATTTGCATTGAACACATATACTTACCGTATTTTGTATGGTTTCTGTTTCATATTTCTTTGGATAAATTAGTTATTAGCTACAGCTGTATGGCTGAAACTAGCTAGCAGTTCTGTTCAGCTTTCATTAGTCTTTGTTCTCTCGTACAGTATTATCATACAGTATTACCATGTCTCATGGTAGACAACTTGCCACTCTGCCAGTAACGAGGCAGATGGTTCTGTAGGCTCAGGATGAATCTGGTTTAACAATTGAAATGGTAACGTGAAATATGGATTAACCATGTGGTTTCACCTCGTTTCCGCCTTTGTTTTTTTTTAACTGAAACCTTCGAGATTTCTCAATAGGTGCTATGTTCTGTTACTCTTCCGATGTTTTTTTTTTCATTTTCGTGGATAACATGTGTCTGTTGCTTGTTCGAAAATAAAACACAGGATCTCGCAGATTTGTTTGAAGCAATAGCTGGTGCAATTTACGTCGACAGCAGGAATAACAAGGAGGTTGTCTGGAGAGCCATGAGACGGCTACTGGAACCTCTTGCCACCCCGAAGACCATGGAGCCTGACCCAGTGTCGGAACTGAAGGAATTATGCGAGCGCAAAAGTTACCCTAAGCCATCGTACTCTCCAACTCGTGACGATGTAGCTGGAGTGACAATGGTGGTTGCAAAGGTGAAGGCTGCGGGGACAGTGTACTCCGAGACTGGAAAAGGCCGCAACCAGGATGTGGCGGAAGTTCTCGCTGCAAAGGCTCTGCTCGAGAAACTAAAGGCCGGAGCTAGAGGATGACGTTTGGACTTGGAGCAGAGGGCATTAGATATTTGCGCACTTGATAGCTGTTTTCGCGGAGGATCAATTCGGTCGCTTGGTTACCAGCTTGTACGTAAGACTGGTTCGAGGTTTGAGCGCTGACTCTGGTTTCGCAGCTGTGAGAAACTTTTAGGCCCCGTTCGTTTTATCAGGAACGACTGGCAGGAAGAGTTCCTGGTCGGAATCGCTATTTAATTTGTATAAGCTTTCAGTAAATGGAATGATTCCTGGCGTGGTTTTGCCTGAACCGAACGGGCCCTTATTGGTGTTGACCAATGGTCTGTTTGGTTCCGACCGTGGCCTAGAACGATTCCTAGCCGGATTGCTTGTGTAGTTTATATAACATTTCATGAGCTGGAATGATTCCTGAGTGGAATCCTGACTAAGAGAAGGAAGAAACAAGTAGCGGATATGTGGTGCCAAGTCATAGAAATGGCGATGCAGAACTAACGTTTGCTTCTGTTTTTGTTTCCTTCAGTTTCCTGTTCCTGGTTTATACTGTGCTACTCGAAGCACTGGAAACCCGTAACATTTGTAACTAAATTTGTAACTAAATCTCGAGGGCCGCTTTTTGGCCACTAATAAAACCAGGTGAGGACCATTAAAAAAAAAGTTAGATACTCCATGCTATAAGGGCAGTTTAACCATCCCCTTTTGGTTTCGATAGCTGCCACAAAACCTCTGACCTACGATGCACAGTGTCTTCGTGTGCACGTTTCCTCCCCACCCGTCATTTTTCGCATCTTGTTCTCTCTCCTCCGTCCTGGTCTCCTTTCCGCTTCTGCGGCCAACGACGGGTGAGCACGAGCTGGTGCACGCGGCTTGTCACGTCGAATATCGAATGTCTAGGTAGTAATAAAGAGCATTAAATATAGATTAATTAAAAAATCAATACATAGATGGAGGCTAATTTGCGATGCGATTTTTTTAAGCCTAATTAATCTGGCATTATCACATGTTTACTGTAGCACCACGTTGTCAAATCATGGACTAATTAGGCTTAAAAAATTCGTCTCGCAAATTGGTCGCAAGTTGTGTAATTAGTTTCGTAATTAGTCTATATTTAATACTCCATACGTGTGTCTAAACATTCGATATGACAGAAATTTTAGGAGATCCTGTAGAAACCAAACACCCCCATAGTAAGGTAGGAATTTTGGCCCATTACTTAATGAGTTAATGTTCGAATCATTTCATCCTAGATTTTTATTAAAGCAAATGATAGAATATTAATATGCTTTGGCACGACGCTAAAGTGAACTAAGGGGCATTATATATCAACATAGCACATTCTCATCTATGATTCCACTTTAACAGAAAGGAAAACCGAAAGAGCATGTCCGATTTGCTTTGCATCCGCTATTCTATTATGACATTATACAAGCCTATTAAAAAGCTAAAATGAGGGGCGGAGCTATATAGGATCTTGGGTGCGAGCGCACCCACGTAAAAATATATATATAAAAACTATAATCAAAGACTATGTATGGTGATTGGCACGATTTTAAATGGCTCCGACTCCTTGTTATACTGCGTGGAAGAATTGGAGCCAGTCAAACCAAAAATAGTGACTTCATCAACTCCTAGTTTATTTTAAGAAGAAAGAAAAATCAACTCCTCGCCACAGTGCACGGAGGAGCCAAAGCCAAATCTATTTAAAGCTCTACCAAACAGGGTCTATTTTTCTCCATGCATAAATACCCCCGTGGCACAAATATATGAACGAGTACAAGACAAACACAAATTTCCAATATGCTCCGACTTCTCCTCTTGAAAACCTTTAAAATTGTAAAATGATGACTATGAGACAAAACTGTACATTCGAGATTGTACGAAGCTTGCGTGATATAAAAAACACAAATCGAAGTTTCATGAGTTAGTTTCTGCTCTATCATCAAGCAAGCCATCAATCAAACCAAGCTTGTTCGACAAGTATCTGAACTCGGGTATCACCCGTCCGGCCGTCCGGCCGTCCCAGACTCCCAGTGGAGAGTGGACCCTGCTTCAGAGTTCAGATCCAAGCTTGTTCGACAAGGCTCTGTTTAGTTTGTGAAATTTGGAAATTTGGCTATGTTAGCACTTTTGTTTTTATTTGGTAATTAGTGTTCAATTATGGACTAATTAGGTTTAAAACGTTCGTCTCGCCATTTTCAACCAAACTGTATAATTAGTTTTTTTTTCGTCTACATTTAATGCTCCATACACGTATCGTAAGATTCAATGTGATGACTACTGTAGCACTTTTTGAGAAACTTTTTAGTAACTAAACAAGCACCAGGTATATTTGCTTTTAGATACAGATACAGTGTGGATATGCGCCTTGTTTAGATGCCATCCAAATTCCAAGTTTTTTCACTCTCTCTCTATCACATCAATTTTTAGCCGCTTGCATGGAGTATTAAATATAGGTAAAAAAATAACTAATTACATAGTTTAGTTGGAAATCACGAGATAAATTTTTTGAGCCTAGTTGGTCCACGATTGGACAATATTTATCAAATAAGACGAAAGTAGTACTATTTATCGGGTTAAAAAAATTTGCAAAGTGAACAAGGCCATGCTTTACTTTGTCAGACGAATAGTCATAGGGTTGCTTTATGCAGTGAGCAGGCCCTTGCTGGCAGTTGGCTTTTCATAATCGTGCGCTACTTTCTGTAGCGCCTTTGAACTAACACAATAATAATAATACTATGTACGGTTTCAGTTAGCTTTTGACATCTTTTTTTTCTAGTTTCGTGTTTGTTTCTGCCCTTGCCGTTTTCAAAGAAAACGAATTATTCGCTTCGAAAATGACCTTGAAATTTCAAATTTGTTTTCTCCTCTACTATAGTGATTACCACTCCCTTTGTCCCGCAAAGAGGGTCACTCTCGCTTATCAAAAAGTCAAATATTTTCATTTAAGTATATATATATTAAATTATTAATACTCCGTAAAAAGTGTCACTATCACTTACCGAGAAGTCAAATATTTTTCATTTAAATATATATATAATAAATTATTAATACTTATGGTCGTTGAATATATTTTCATAATAATAAGCTTATTTGAAAATACAAATATTGTTAATATTTTGTATAAATCTAATCAGACTTAAGAGAGTTTGACCAATACAAAATTCTAGGCGACTTTATTATTATTTCTTTTGACAAAGGGGAGCTGCTAGCATTTGTTTTTCGAGCAGGACCGGTAAAGAAACTAGTCCCTGAATTGGAGGACAACACCCAAAGTTATTGGTAAGGGTAAAGTACATTTTCACCTCAAACTTGTGTTGTAGTCTTATTTTCAACTTTAGACTACGAAACCGGGTAACATACACCCTCCAATTATCAAAACCAAAAAAAATTATCCTTGTATTGGTTTTAAAATTGATTTTGTATTTTCTATAAAAATAAATAAAAATCTCATTAGTTTCTAGAATTCATAAATGAATTATTTTTAAATCAGGAAAATATGAAATTAGTACCAATTTGTTTTTCTAAAAATGTTGTCTAATTGTTATGATCTATGCACGGGTATTTAGAATTGGTTTATTTATGTCCCTATTGCTTTATTGCTTGTAGTTGCACTCATCATTTATTTAAAACAAGTAACAACCAAATAACTTTAAATATAACACTAACGGATAGATTATATTTTTAGAAGAAAAATTGAAACTAGTTTCATATTTTTATGATTTAAAATAAATTAATTATGAATTTATAGATATCAAACTAGTTTTTTATATGATTATTAGAAAATAGAAAACTCCTTTTGAAGTAACCAGATGACTATTTTTGGCTGGTGTTCAATAGTTGAAGGATGTGGTCTATACGGTGTGTTTGTTGAGCTGTGGCTTTCTGAAAAAATTGTTGTGAGCTATGGAAAAACTTCTGCAGGGTGTGGGCTGTGGAAAAGTTGTAAGCTATTTAGTTCAAATAAGTATAAAACTTACCTCGTATCTCTATTTTTCTAGAAACAAATGTGAAACAACTCTCAATTTTCACCATTTAAAAAAGCAAAATGCCAAAAGCCAAAAGCAGAGTCAAATATACTTTCAAAGTTGTACTACCCAAAAGTAGCTGCTTCTGGAAAGCAGCTTTTGATTTTCACCCCTTTAGTTGAATTTTTAGCATTTTGAACAAAAAACAGCTCCAAAAAGCCCAACCAAAGATACACACAGCTTCCTAGGCCTCTAGTCCCCTTGCCCTATGTCTCATAATCAAAACTAATACAAGACTACCCTGTTGCACTTGGTTAGGAACCAAGCACGGATCCCCTACTCTAGACTTTAGAATTCTAAAACTTTAGTGCATTTTAGATCATTTTTGAGGTCTAAAGCTCTAATGTGATATGAGCTAAAGTTTACAGCTATTTTTCGACCACCTGTTTGGAGCTTTGGCTCTAAAGTTTATAGGAGAGAATCAAGCAGGCCCTTAGAACACTTTAGCTCACGTTTGAGCTCTAAATCTCTAATATGAGGTGGGCTAAAATTTAGAGCTAACTTTAGACCACCTATTTATAGCTTTAGCTCTAAAGTTTAGAGCTTTAAAATTTAAAGGAGTAAAATCAAACAGGTCCTTAGATAAATCGAGGGTCGCTTGCTAGCACAACATGCCAACAGCAAACACACAACTTGTTAGCACAACACCTTTTTTCTCATGGGTTCTTTTTTCTCCTCATTGCTATTTGATAATGTAAATTTCTTTAGGTTACGAGTACGTGTACTTGGGCTTATTTTAGTGTCGTGAATTTATGGTACTATACTTATCCGTAGTACACATGTATATTTACTAGGAGTATTTACTTATCTACTTATATCATTGTATGTATGTTGTACTGAGTTGAACGTTCGAAATGATTACATGCATCAGTGTTATTGATTACTGATTTGAATTACCGGTTTCTTCCATTATGGTGGTGTTCCATTTCTGATTTCTTGACATAACTGTTTTCGTTTTCCCCACCGGCGTTTCCGATTCCGAATAAAAATACGAAATCAAGAGAGGCTAGAGTTTTTTTTGGGAAATTTGGCCACAGGACATTCGGAAAATATGAAATTGGCTGCTGCACACCGCCAACTCCGATATTGGCCGAGTACCATTATGAAATTAGATTCATTTGCTAGAACACACCGCCTCTATAAAAAATAATTTCTGCTGGATCCGGAAAGAGAAGCTATGGAAAATGGCGTGTTTGCCCTCATCTTCTTCCTCTCGCTCATATGGTGTCGATATGGCGCAGCGGGGCTCGCCCACAGGTTGCCCGTCTTGGCGGGGGAGCTCCTGGCCTGGTGGCCAGCGCCTCGGGGGGCGTGCCCCTCACGATGGGCTGCGCCACCGGAGGGCCCTGGTTGGCCGCGCGCCCGGAGTGTGCCCATAGGATGGCCAGCGCAGCCGGAGCTCCGCCCTGGATCGCCGCGCGCCTCGGGGGGCGTGCCCCTGGGATTGATCTTGCCGCCGGGAGTGCCGCCGGTGGCCGGCATCGGCCAGCCACGGGGAGCATCGCCCATGGATGGCCGCGGCCACGGGAGCATCGCCCTTGGGTGGCAGCGCAGCACGGGAGCTCACGCCCGGCCAGGCCAGCCACTCCTCTAGGGAACGCGCTAAGTATGCCCTTCGGCACCGGTGCACCGGCGGCGGCGACCAAATTTCACTCCCACCACCGGTGAACCGCGGCGTACCTCTTTTCTCCGGCTCCGGCAACTCATAGATCTTTCGGTAACTTCGACATGGACGGCGACGATAGCTCGACACAATTAGAGATGGCGGTCTTTGGTGCGATGGCTGGACTCTGCGCCCACGGGGAGGAGGCCCTCGCGCTACTGGCCGGCATGGATGCGGACGACAATGGCGGATTGGCGCAGGTCATCGGTGAAGCCGTACGTAGGTGCAGAAGAGCACGCAGACGACGTCCGCCCTTAGCGGTGGAGACTGCGGGGTGGCGTGAAGGATGGGGAGACGCAGGGGTGTGGGTGAGGGCAGGCACGGCAAGGCTCGCCGGCCGGCCATTCACCAGACTTCTTGAAATGGTGTCGCCAGACTTGAGGAAGCGAGAGGAAGAAGATGAGGGCAAACACGTCATTTCCCATAGCTTCTCTCTCCCGGAACCAACATAAATTATATTTTAATGGGGGGTGTGTTCTAGCAAATGAATCTAATTTCATAATGGTACTCGGCCAATATCGAAGTTGACGGTGTGCAGCAACCAATTTCATGTTTTCCGAATGTCCCGTGGCCAAATTTCCCTCTTTTTTTTTTTGACGTTCCCCAACATTTTCATCCCTATTTAAGACAGACAGAGTACTTCGGAAGGAGCACGAGCGTGTGCTTGAACGTTGTTGGTACCCTATTCCAAAAGGAGCATCATCGCTTCATGCCTTCGTCGTGGTACACTGGAAATTTGAACGGCGAAAGCCAAGCGATGCGAATCTCGGAAAGCCCACCGGCCACCGCCGACCGTCCTCGCCACTCCGTGTTTCCCCTCCTGTCCCTGTGAGAGCGACCGAGGTACCCGACCACTACAGGTTGGGACCAGGACGCGAAACAACGACGCAACTCCGTGTTTTCCCTTCCCCTCGCCGAGTCAAAAAGCGTATCAAAATGTTCCGTGTCCCAACATCTCCCCCCTCCCGAGTGCCAACTCCCAAACTCTCCAAGTCTCAACAATTCGTCTCCCCACCTCCGTTTCACTCTCAACAGTTCGTTCCCACCCCGCACACACGCGCGCGCGTTGATTTGAGGCGGCGCTTGCATTGCACGGCGTGTGCCGCGGAGGAGGAGGCAGCGGCAGCGCAACCGTCGTCACCACCAAAAGCTCCGCATTCTCTCGTGCACGCGTCCCTAAACCTCCCTCGCCCCTTCCCCTTCTCCTTCTATATACCTCGCTGCCATGTCCCGCGCCGCCGCCGACGAAGCCGCCGCCGGGGACGTGGTGATGGAGGAAGAAGATCCGCCGCCGCCGCCCTGCGACCCGCAGACGCAGGCGAGATGGTGAGTGCGCCACCGCGCGCCGCGCGTCCTGCCGCTCGGCTCCGCTCCTCGCCCGCCGCTCGATCCTCCCCGTCCCGTCCAGTCCCGTCCTAATGTGGGTGCCCGCCCCCGCAGGTACCAGCTCGAGGCGCTGGAGCGCGCGCTGGCCGGGAACACGCTGGTGTTCCTCGAGACGGGCGCCGGGAAGACGCTCATCGCGGTGCTGCTCCTCCGCCGCTTCGCGCACCGCATCCGCTCCGCCCGGCCGCCCTCCTTCGCCGTCTTCCTCGTCCCCACCGTCGTGCTCGTGAGCCAGCAGGCGCGCGTCATCCGGGCGCACACGGACCTCCGCGTCGCCCAGTTCTACGGCGAGATGGGCGTCGACTTCTGGAACGCGGACAAATGGCGCGACATGGTCGACGGGGCCGAGGTGCTCGTCATGACGCCGCAGATCCTCCTCGACAACCTCCGCCACAGCTTCTTCAGGCTCCGGGACATCCCGCTCCTCATCTTCGACGAGTGCCACCGCGCCATCGGGAATTCCCCGTACGCCTGCATTCTTAAGGTCACCCGAAAGTTGGAACCATGCTTGGCTATTTTTGTCCCCAACCGACCCTCTTGTCTGTTGGCATGCACATTTATATTGATCTGGTTTCCAAATCGCAATTCAGTTACAAGCTTTGACATTTAAGGCTACGTCTGCCACTTGCCCACTTGTATCAATTCAGGAGGTCCTATGTCTGTAACTCTGTATGTGTACTTCTAGGTGGAATCATGATTGCTTAGATTTTTTTTTTGGGGCAAATTTCCGTTTCAGTTAAGAGCTTGGATTTTCTTGCCTTCTTTTTTCATGTATATCCAACAATCTAGTTAAATCTTTTAGTGTGCCTTTTTTCTGGTAGGAGTTTTATCATCCCCAATTGAATTCTAGGCCATCAGATCCTATTCCAACTATATTTGGGATGACAGCTTCTCTAATTGCAAAAGGTAAGGAGGATGCGGCAATATTCTTTGTATTTGTATATTTATATGTGCATGTGCATTTCATTCTCTCATTAATTAATTCCATTGTGGAATTTTCTCCACAGGTTTGGCGCGTGTCAAATATTCAGAGAAAATATCTGAGCTCGAGAATCTCATGAATGCGAAGGTCAGGCTATATAAGAACACCCACACAACTGTACTTCTATTTATATCCCTAATTTGGTAACATGTGACAACAACTTATGCATTTCCCTTTATAGGTGTACACTGTTGCCAGTGAATCAGCACTATTGCAATACATTCCATTTGCGACTACAAAGATAGTCGAGTATGATGATTATATCATAACGTCTGAGTTCTATAGCCATACTATCCGTTGCTTGAACAAATTGGAAAAGAAGGTACTATTATATGCTCTAGGAATGGCCTTTTGCTGGATACATATTGACTATGTTACTCTGCGTCACCCAGTATGTAATCCAGGGGCCTTTCGCAGTGCATTCTGCATTATATTATGATTTAGACAACATTTAATTTGTTATCAATACTCTAGAATTGGAATCTTATGATTTAAGATACTACAGTTCACAACAAAATTGTTCGGTCTTGTTTGTTTTAAAAACATTTTCTGTTTGATGCTGAAATTGTAAAGGGTGCTACAACTACATTAGTTTATTCTGGCTCCTAAAATTCTAAATGGTATGCATGATTGCACCTTATATAACTGGTTTGCAGTAGAAATGATATCATGAATAATGCACGTAAAAATAACTAAGTATGACTTGTGAACTTCAACTAGTTTAGCAGGAAAGACAAAGCTACATACTAGTAAGATGGTTAAATATTACAGGCATAATGCTCTTGGTAAGTCACATGATAATGTTAGGAATATTTGTTGATATTTAGTCCAATCGAATTCGAAGTAATACTCAACTTTTAAGGGATTTTGAACAAATCTTTATTATTCATTCTTTTGTTTGTTATACATGTGCAGCTGTGCAACAATGTTCCCATGGCTTTATATTTGGAAAAAATGCAACAGCTTTACTGACATATCCATATTGCTTTTTATCTGGATTTATGCTCATGATGGGGCAATGGAGCTTTTTAGTGTTTTCTTTTATAACTTTCAATAACTTCTTTCATCATGTTCTGAGTTGATATGCACATGAATTAACAGTGGTTACATTATCTTAGCATTTAGAAACCCTGAAGGAGAAACTGCATGGTTCACTTCTGGAAAATTCAGAGAAAAAGATAAAAAAACTAAATGCAATGTTCTTATATTGCATATCTGATCTTGGAGTATGGCTGGCAGCAAAGGTATGAGGATATGTAATGTGCATGTTTTTATCATTTTGATGCACTCCTAAAAATGCCTTTAAACCTTTTATCAGGCTGCTGAGATTCTACAATCAAACAAGGAAATTTGTGTGTCCTTTTGGGGCGAAAAACTGGATGAAAAAGTTGAAGGATTCATTAGAAACTATGTCAGAGATGTATATAGTGATCTCTCAGAAATTATATTGAAGATGACAAAGAGGGGCGTACAACGTAATGGCATCCTTCTTCATTCCTTGTTTCTTCGATGTACTTTTTCCTGATGAAAGTTTTGACTTAATATGAATTAATCTGTGCAACTATTCTGCCACTGCTATTCAATATTTTTAACTCAGCCTTTATGGTTTATAAATCATTTTGCTGATAAGACGTGTATCTATAACTACTACTGTGCTATTTGTGAGGTGTATGCAAATATTTATCACTTTATCAATTCATTAAATAAAATACTAAACTCAACCCCAGGAAGAAGATGGCACCTGCCCAACCTTTATTATTAGAGATGTGAGCACCTGGGTTTGAACTGGGGTGTGCGGCCTCTCGACTGAAGGCTATTGACTGAGCTATTGCTCGATTTGACAATTTACATTATTATTAGATATGCACTTGTCCTTAGTGTGTTCTTGAGTTATCTATGACACTGTCCAAAAATGTATATGATGTGTTTTATTTTTACATTCTTAAAACTAGTTTTTGAATATTGTTTGTAGCTACAAAATCAATATGGTGCAAAAGCATTTATTAAATCTATTTATATGATATTTATACCAGATGTTCAATCTTCTGAAAGCATGCACACCCTACCTGATTGGATGAAGGGAGTATCAATTTGTGAAATGTGTTAAATATGATTCATTGATCTTCCTGTCATATTTACATCCGTCTATACAGGACATATTGGTGAGGACTTCGCTGAGGATCTGCAAGATGGGTTATTGACATCCAAAGTTTATTTTCTTATCAAATCTCTTCTGGGGTATAGGTGAGAATATGTTTGGATCTCAAGCATGTAATAGTTTACTCCCATTGCCTTTGAAGTAGTGATTTGCCTACAACAGGAACGCATGTATAGATTGGGGCTCGCCATACATGCAAATCTAATTCAACTAAAGTTGTATATCCAAATAAACGTATACTAGCTTGTTCTATTGATCTTATAGTGTTATGAACCCGAATGTCCAGCTGGATGGTTACTGCCTTGCTCGTATCTTGATGTGATCATGTTCCATGCACTGCTACTCTGCATGTGGCCATGACATTAATTGCTAATGAAATGGTATGGACAGCTGAAAATTGTTCTCTCTCATTGTATGCCATGATTAATCTCTCGCTCCCTCTTGCAGGCATATGCAAGATTTGAGATGCATTGTTTTTGTTGACAGAGTCATTACAAGCATTGTGTTGGAGGCTCTTCTGTCAACTATTAATCAAATGTCTGGATGGAGTGTTAGATACATGGCATCAGGGAGAATTGGTGGTTTGCAACATCAGAGTAGGAATAAGCATGCGGAAATCGTTGATTCATTTCGGAGTGGAAAGGTTTGCCACTAATGTTGCCCTGCTATGGTTGTCCTACTAATAATTGTACTGATGATAAAATGACATCCTGTAGGTGCACCTGATTATTGCTACATCAATCTTGGAGGAGGGACTGGATGTGCCAAGTTGTAACTTGATAATCCGTTTTGATCAGGCAGCAACTGTATGCAGCTTTATACAGTCACGTGGTCGTGCTAGGATGCAAAATTCTGACTATGTTTTACTTATTAGAAGGTATGTTTTCCAGTTCTGTAGGTGGTGTTTCCTGAGCAATTTTTTTCCTTTGAGGTTCAAGGTTTTTTTTTTTTTTTTTTTTTTCGTCGAAAGTAGACTTTGTGGAATTGCTCCTTTGGTTGCTCACCCTGGACATTTGGTCATCTTGTTGGGTAGTATGTTTGTCGTGGTCGTCTTTTTGATGGTGTGTGTGACATGTCTGTTTTCTGTTTCGATGGGGGGGAGTTTGTTGTGTTTGGGAGCAGGGTCCGTTCTCTCCTTTGTATTTGGAGTAGGCGTTTGCGTCTTCCTGTTCTTTTTCTCCTTATTGAAGTGACACAGCTCTCGTGCGTCGCTTTGAGAAAAAAAAAGTAAGTTTGTTGGCTGGATTCGCCAATCACCATTTTAATTGCATGTGTGGGATAAAGAATATGTTTCGTTGCAGTGATTTGTTAGTGTAGGCACAACATTTCCTGTTTTAATTGTATGTTGTGAATTGCCGAGTGTGTTTTTTGGTCCCAGTGGCTTAATCTGCATAACAGTGTGACTGATGGTGATACGAGAAATATCATGAAGGAACCTGCGTTTTATTCATTTTAGGTTGATTTCTTGTTCCTGGTGGTACCATCTTCATTTGTTCTCAATTCGAGACATGGTTTCTGTTTTACTATTTTTCAGTTTAAGACCCTGTAATCTGTGTCAAATTTTGTTGTCAATCTTATTTGAGTGATATTGTTGGGTTTTGCATATTGCTTTACATGATTATTGAGGTTTCTCTATGTTTCTGTATCAGGGGAGATGCCAATGCTCTTTCTAAGACAGAGAAGTTTCTCGAAAGTGGACAAATCATGCGTGAAGAATCTCAGAGATTGGAATCTACTTGTTGTCAGCCTCTTCCCAACACTCTATGCAATAAGGAATTTTATCGTGTTCAATCTACTGGAGCAATTGTGACTCTGAACTCTAGTGTTGCATTGATTTACCTTTTCTGCGCAAAGCTACCATCGGATGAGTCTGTTTTCTTTCTTAGATAAGGTTTTCTTTTGGTCCATACAACAAAGCATTTCTTGGTGCAAATACTAACAGTTTTTACCAACATATGCCAGTTATTTTAAACCTGTACCAAGATTCAATATTAACAAGGCATTAGGTACATGTACGCTGCATCTTCCAATGAGCAGTCCTGTACAAACAATTTATGCTGAAGGAGAAGTTTCTATGATCAAGAAGGTTGTTTGTCTCAAGGCCTGCCGGGAATTACATGCTGTTGGCGCTCTCACAGATTCTCTCTTGCCCGAATCGAGTGTTCCATGTGAAGATGAACCTGACATTGGTATTCCTATTTCTTTGTTAATAAAAAAATGAATCCAGGCTTCATTTTGTTGCAGTTATTGTGAATATATTTTGTATTGTGATTGCCTACACTGATATTTTCGTACTTGCATTTATTTGTCTGATTTGTAGTTGTAAGTTGTAACTATCCAAAACTTCTAAACTCAACATACATATCTTAGGACTTGGGTCATATTGGAGGGTGGGATCACGCATAGGGCTTGAGAGAGACTAATATATTAGCTAAGTTCAATCTGATGCTTACAACTTCAAAATATGCCTTAGTGAGGATGCTGGAGTTAGAGAAAACTTAAATCTGCAGGTTTAGCATAGAAGTAAAATTGTTGTCTAATCAGGCACAAACAATATCAGCATATAACATGATCCCTACTTCATGATAGTGTCAACTCATGGCAAATTATTATGTTGCGCATGTCAAAATCACATTCATCATCAGCTTACCTATTTTATTTTACCAAGTCTATCCTTGTTTTTACATGTTTTCAGTTGTCTGAAATCAGGGCTGAAAATGATCAGAAACATATAAGTTTTATGGAAATAATGTTTGGTCAGTCGTGAATTTCCACACTTACCTATGTAACTGTTAAGTTGCAATGTAGGGGTGTGTTATTAGAAATATCAAGTTTTGTGTATGGCTAGGATAGGGAATGGTCGCAAACGGTACCATTTTCTTGGAAACGATACTCAGTTGGTTGGGAATTTTCATCATCGTTTTTATCCCTGCTTGAAATGTCCACTATTAAGTCAAAAGTGCACTCGTTCGATCCATTCCAATTGGGTAATCAGTTTGGCAGCAATTGAATTGTATGTTATACTAAGACTGTATTAACTCTCACGATGTAGTTGTGGACAAATACAAAAATGGGCAACCTGACTACTTTCCAGAGCAATTAGTGGATAATTGGTTGTCTTTTTCTCGTCGTGGCTTTTACTATTGCTACATGATCTCACTGGAAGGTTGTTCTGAAACTACTCCAGCTGAGATAGTATTAGCTGTGAAGTGCGATATGGGATCTCACTTCATCTCGAACTCATTCAAACTGTGGGGTGTGCAAGAAGATTTGAGTTTTACCATGAGATACGTTGGTATCATTCATCTAAATCAGGAACAGGTAGGTTTTCACTCAGTATAATTTTGTTCTGTAGTCACCATACCATCTTTTCTTGGTCTCTTTTTGATAAGTGAAAGTATTTTGGACCCTTCACCTTCATTATGAATGCACCACTCCTGCTCAGGTAATTGTCGCGAGAAGATTTCAGACAACGATTCTTTCTTTGCTTATTAGTAATGACCTTTCGGAGGTCAGCAATTCTATTAAGAACTTACTTGAAATGCCAGTATCTCCTGGAGCTGTGTATCTACTTCTGCCAGTGGTTTCTGGAAAAATTGATTGGTGCAGCATCAAATTCTCAGCCTCAGAAATGCCTGAAGCTACTAACATGGATATGAGACACTGCCATCCTTGTAAAGATACTGGTATAGTGCAGAGTCTGCAGACAAAAGATGGCCCTTTCTGCCGGTGCATGCTTCGAAATTCTATTGTCTGTACCCCACATAATGGCATGTTTTATGCTGTTTCTGGCTTTCGTCTTGACTTGGATGCTAATTCGCTTATGCCTGAGAGTTCTCTTAGCTACAAAACCCATTTTAAGGAAAGGTATGTTTGCCTTTCCTTTGGTATTCTTTATGTCATGCTCCCATAAGCTGTAGAAATTATCTTTATGTATCTTATTTGTTTTACATTCTCTAGGCATGGCCTTGATTTAACATGTGAAGATCAACCTCTCTTGAAGGCCTGTAAACTTGTGGAAGTGCGGAACTTCCTCCACAAGTGTAACTATAAAAAAGAAAAAGGTTCCTTTCTCTTGAGAAGAGTATTTAGTTGTGTCTGTTACCATATCCATCATGCTGGGTATTTATACCATGTGCTGAATCAATTAGTTTGTGCTCAAATTCTGGGAGATGGGATGGCAAGACGCTCGTGCCTTCCCTGAACTGTTTTCTCTTACATGTGACCCTCACATTTGCAAAAGCTAGCATAATTGACTTGTGGAACATGGATCCATGATATTTGTCTTCATTAGCACAATACATTTCTGTTTTAATTCATGGATGGTCTGCTCATAGGTACCATTTGTGTGCAAAATTTCAAAAAACTACATTTGTGTTCATTAGTACAATAATCTTCTGGAGGAAGTAGTACTCATGCTGCTATCAAGATTATAGAAGCTGAATAATGGAGATATGACAATCTTATGTCTTTTTTCTTCTTAGCATAGCTAAGCAAGCTTCTTAGAATAAAGGGGTCAGAAGATGTATCCTTGTGGTTGCGGGAAGGCCTAAGGCCTGTTTCTTTCCCTATGGCTTTGCGAGGGGCAGTTTGTGGTCAGCTGTCTTGAGAAGTTGGCAGTCTGGCATTTTGTAGTGTAGACCAGTAGGTCGAGTTCCGTAATATTCTCTAAAAATTGAAAGTTTCAAATAATGTTTGTTTTTTTAACGTAGCTTTTTTGATACTGTAATTAAATTAACTTGTTCGTTAGATGACTGATTCCATTATCCTGTTGCAGAAAGAAGCCGTAAGAATGCGGTTGAATTGCCACCCGAACTGTGCATAGTTGTCATGTCGCCGATGTCAGCAATTACTTTGCGCAGCTTCACGTTTATTCCTTCTATAATGTACCGTATCCAATGTATGCTTCTTTCTATGAATTTGAAAATGCAATTGGGTCCGAGCATGCAGCAGTTTGACATTCCAGCACTAAAGGTTTGATTCTGTAGCAATTTTCTAATTTATGCATTTATGCATAGTATAATGTGGCTACTAAGTCAGCTTGTTGCCCTCTAGATGTGAGAACATAACTCTTGATTTAATGATTTCCCATATATACTGTTTTAATAGTATATTACATTGTGAAAATAAAGGTTCTGGTCACTTATTCTTCAGTTGTATATTGCATCATGTAGCATTGGTTCTTGTCATCATGTTTCTTTTTCCAAAACTACTTGTCTTTATGTTTCACCCCCGTGGGATTATTCTCAGATGAGTTCTACAATCAGTTCAGTTGATGACTTTGCAAATAGGAACTGGCAACTTTTTGATTTTTGATACTTTTAATATAATTTTACATTATAAAAGTATTTTCATGAAAAATCTAAGAACATGGACCTTATCTAGTCAATCTATATGATTATTTAGCTATTGATAGTTGAATCTCAACCAGTTTTGACTCAAAGCTTTCTAATGAACTTATTTGGGGTTGGAGTATCTTAACCTGATCAAGATGCAGGATGTGCATGCTGCTTCATATATTTTCATTGTAAATATTCAGTAAAGATTGGAGTGACGTACAGTGGTTGATCATTTCTTGTCACCAGCATGAACATTCTCCTTTTATGCATTGTCTATTCTTATTTTTAACCCTCGTTCATTGGCTTGCAGATTCTGGAAGCACTTACAGCAAAGAATTGCGAAGAGGAGTTTTCACAGGAATCATTAGAAACACTTGGGGACTCTTTTCTCAAGTATATTACAACTCAACACCTTTTTGGCAAATACAGACATCAGCATGAAGGCATGCTAACCAAGATGAAGAAAAACTTGATCTCGAATGCAGCTTTATGCCAGCTGGCCTGCAGTAACAATCTTGTGGTACTCTTACCTAACCTGTCTTCTTTTTTAAAATCTAAAGTTCTGTTTGTTTACGTGAGTCATCCCAAGAATCGTAGATTTTCAAATGTGATCTACTGAATACAGCAGTTTGGATCAGCATAGTATCAGACCCTGATTGTATTGTATATTATACCTGAGCAACTTAAGTCTAAACTTGTCAAAACCAGGCTCTAACCTTCTGAATAGCACCGAACCACAGTTCATCAGCTCCACCTAGTCTACATGCTTGCTACAACCAGACACCAGACAACTTCCATGTCCAGTGAGCTCCAGCAGTCTGACCTTAGGCCACCGCTGGCCAAATTGCCAGTGAAATTGCCTCCTCTTTGTCCACACACTGCTCCAATCCAGTTCCAATCAATGCCACCACTGACCATTGCTTCGTCCTCGTCACTGACAGTGAGACCCACACTGCTGTTGTTTACTAGAATTTTCCTGGGCGAGGCTTGCGCTGCTGTCATCGATTGTGGAATATTGCTCCTCTTCTCTGGTGCACAGACCAAGCAAAGGTGTGGCTTGGGGTCAGGGATCAGGGACCTGGTCATTCTTCCTGGCAGACAGACTTAGGGGGTGTTTGGGACTGCTCCGCTCCACGTTTTTCAGCTCTGCTCCACGATTTTTAGCCAAACGGTTTTAGCTCCACGCACTCTGTTCGAGGAAAAAGGGTGGAGTTGTGAGAGCACCTAAAGAGGCGCTCCACAAACTCCAGTTTTTTGTGGAGCTGCTCCACGGTGGAGTTTGTGGAGCAGTCCCAAACACCCCTTAGATTGTGTGTCTTTGATGTCGTTTCCCACATAAAAGCACGGGCAGATCTTTGGTGCCCTTGCCTGTGGTACTGCTGCTCCCATGCAGCATTGGGTCATGCTCATGGAGGTGCCCAAATACTTGTTAAGCACGCATCCAGCCATCCAGCTGCACCAGATCCCAATCCTCCACAGCCTGCAGGCTCATTTTTCATGCCATTTAATACATTGACACAGTCCCCAAGTTTGACTCATTTTTGCACACGTGTGCGGTTTACATACACAGGGTGGAGTCATAACTTGATATGTGTGTGTCTTTTTGGTAATTTTCAGGGTTTGTGCATGCCTGTATTCATAAAAGTATTTTGGAAACATGTGTCGCCATACACAATCGCCATCGACAATGACATGCTTGCCAGTAGCTTGGTGATAACTAAATCTGGCTCAAATTTTAAAAAGCTGCTTAGATAATTCTTTACCAATCAGCCATTAACGCAATGTGTCAATGTTCTCTGATGAAACTTGTTTCTATCAATTATTTGCCTTTTTTTGCTGTACTGTGTGTTTTACCTTACCAATTTTGCATTTGTTGTGCCTTTTGCTTTGTTTTCAGGGATACATTCGAAGCGAAGCTTTCAACCCTAAAACGTGGATTGTTCCCGGGGTTGGCTATGACATATGTGGTACGAGTTTGAGGAAGCTAAAAAGTAAGAGAATCGCGGATTCAGTTGAGGCATTAATTGGGGCGTATCTTTGTGCTGCTGGTGAGCAGGCAGCATATATTTTCTTAAAATCTTTAGGAATGGATATAGAGTTTAACAAAATGCCAGTTGAAAGGATAATCACAATCAAACCAGAAGAGTTTGTTAACGTTAAAAGTTTGGAGCTACTGCTTGACTATAGGTTCAATGATCCTTCATTGTTGATGGAAGCACTGACACATGGTTCATATCAGATTGCTGGCACTACTGCATGTTATCAGGTTGGTCTGGAAGCCGCCAAACACTTCTCTCCATCTACTTCGTTAATTTCTATTTATTTCCAAAAGTTCCATGGCTACTTCAGTGCAGAGGCATAAATCTGCTATTATAACAGAAGTATCTTTAGAATAAATAATCATGTTGCAGTCTCTTATTTCGTTATACCATAGTTTATGAGATGAAAATCAAAGTGCTGGGGTTTAGGGTTGAAATATAGAAAAAAAAGTTTAAAAGAGTGGAAAAAGTGTCAGACTTGAGCCGTATAGGAAATGTTCACACATAGTGGAAGCAATCATCAAGAATGACCAAATGTTAGACACCAGGGTGCGGCAGGCCCCCTTGGGCTGCACGTCCCAACCTTGCTTGGGCCCTAAGTGTACACAGGATTAGAATAGATATGATTGAGATATTACAGGCAAGGATTACCGTTGATTGGTTCTGTTTCGATAAGCCAAATGCCCCAATCCTAGGTCTTTCTTGCCTATATATGTATAACCCATGACCCTCAACAATCAATCTACTATTCCCTGTGCCAATACTTGTTTACATGGTATCAGGCTAGTCGAGGGAGCAGAAATAAGATTTTTAATAAGGGTAGGCGAAACAAGGACATTGTTAAGTAAATCATTAAATTCACATGAGATATATTTTCATAGTATACCTATTTGGTGTCATAATGTTGACAATCTTCTCTATGAACTTTGTTAAACTTAAAATAGTTTGGTTTAGGACAGCGGTGTGAGTGTGTGCAGGTCTTGTATGGGTTCTTACCACCATTTTTCTTCTTAAGATAATGTAATATAATGATATGCGGCTCTTCTTCATCTTTGAAAAAAAAACATGTTTTTTGGAACATAGAAATACTGCATAGGATGTACCGAATAATAATCTTTTGTCTCAATGAAAACACATGGCATTTTTGTTTGCACAGTGCAATTTGTATCTTGAGTCCCTGAGAAGAAAGAGTTTCTCAATGATAATGGTTTATTGTTTCCTATATTTCCTCAGAAAAGAATATTCTCTAAATGTATTATATCATCTATTATAATAAATTTGATACTATTGAAGTTACAGCATGTAACGATTTTATTGAGTTACTTACAGCTTGATGCATTTGTGCAGCGGCTCGAGTTTCTTGGAGATGCTGTATTAGATCATATTTTTACTGATTATTTCTACCATCAGTACCCTGAATGCACTCCAGAACGGTTGACAGATCTGAGATCTGCTTCTGTGAACAATAGCTGCTATGCTCATGCAGCGGTAAAAGCGGGATTACATAAGCATGTTCTTCACTCGTCATCAGCACTGCACAAAAGGATGGCTGACTACCTCGACAAGTTTGAGCAGTCATTTTCAGGTCCATCACATGGTTGGAAAGCAGGCATCAGTCTACCCAAGGTGCACCTTCTTGACTGTTTGTTCCTTCTAGGTGGCTAATAGACTAATTGTTTGACTTGTAGCACTATAGTGCATTTTCAGTGTTCTGTTGCCAGGTTTGGGGAAAACCTGACCTTTAGCCTGAGTGGTAGTAACCCCCTTATTTATAGTTTCTTTTTCACCTTGACTACGTCCTTGGAAAACAGGCTGAAACATATCACAATTTAACTATTAGTCGTTTACAGGACTTCCTAGCAAGGAACTAACTTGATTTTACTATTAACCAGGAGATAATTGTGGTTCTAACAAAACAGCTAATAAGTAGAGGAAGTGCCATAGTGGCTCACGCCTCAGCTTTGCTTGGCCAGTCCCTAAGACTGAGTCTGTTGGTGGTGGTGGTGCATCTGATCAATGAAAGTGCCCTTTAGTCTGGCAAATTTTTGACAATGTGTTTTTCCCTTGAACATGCAAGACCCCCCCCCCACACACACACACACACAAACTCACACCAGCACACCTAATGACCTACACCATCACATAAGAGGTGCAGGGAGAGGGAACAAAGGGCCTGCTTGGATGCAGGCCAAACTCCGCCAAGCCACATGCGCACCACCGCCACAGTTGTGACGTAAAAAAACGTCGCCACAGTTAGGCGAGCCACAGCACAAAAATGAACTGGGTTTCCGTGTGGCTGCCACCTCCTAGGTACGAACCAAGCAGTAGCCAATTATTGTGGCGCGCCATAGTTAGGCGTGGCTGGTTGTGGCGTGCAACCAAGCACGCCAAAAGTCACTGGCGCATAAATGCGCTAAAATCTGCAGCAAGTCATGAATGCCCTTAGCTCCAGCCAGTCACCATAGCTGAGCTTCATCCCAAACCTTGCTCGACCAAGGTTAAACTTGAGGCAACACTTAAAAACAATGCATTATGATGCTTCCACAGCCACTAACATCCCAGGATAACAAGTGACTTGAAGCCCTTTCGTTCAGAACAAGTCCGACCTTGGCAATCCTTTGGCTATGTTTTGTGTTCGATGTAAAGCTGATATAAGCCCAACTAAAAAAATACATTTTGCTTTTTGAAAAGCTAGGTTAGTGCCTTCGATCCAAACATAAATAAAAAAGAAAATGCCCTAACACAGGACACTGGTTGCATAGCCTCCACAAATATTGAGAGCTCCCGCTCTGTGCGGGGTCTGGGGAAGGGTGTTAGTGGCAAACCTTACCCTCGCCTGTGCAATGCGAGGAGACCGCGACTCGAACCCGAGACCTTCCGGTCACAGGCGGTAAGACTCCAGGCCGCCCTTCCCTCCACAAATATTGATTAATCTTAACAAATGGCTTGCTCATCCTTTTTCCATTTTGGAGGAACATATAAATTTTACTACAGGACCATTTTCACTCCTGTTGCTAAATGGATCATTTGCTTATTCTCATACATGCAGGTTCTGGGTGATGTAGTTGAATCTATCGCTGGTGCAATTTACGTTGACACCAAGCATGACAAAGAGATTGTTTGGAGAAGCATGAAACGGCTACTGGAACCTCTTGTCACCCCCGACACTCTTGAGAATGATCCTGTGAAAGAGCTCCAGGAATTTTGTGATCGCAAAGCTTACACTATGGAGTACAGGGTAACTCGTGAGAACGGGGTATCCTCGGTGGTCGCAGAAGTGCGGGCTGAAGGGACTACATACAAGGCCACTCGGACAGGCTTCTCTAAGCTTGACGCCAAAAAGTTGGCGGCCAGTTCCGTGCTCCATGATGTGAAGGTTGCGGATAGAACGCAGTATTCTGCAAATGGTATCAGCAACACTTAAACTTCATAGCTCTACGGTAGACTTTTGTATAGATGTCATAGAAAGCGTCGAATCAGTAAGGTACAGGTGTGCAGGTGCCTACGCACGCTACGGCCTTCCCTACTTTTGTTGCCTCTACGTCGACGGTCACACTAAAGGTGTACAGAAATGTTTAGTACTCCTTCGTTCTAAATTACAAGTCGCTTTGACTTTTTGGTACATCTATTTTACTATAAATCTAGATAAATAATATGTCTAGATATATAGCAAGATGGATGAATAAAAAAAATCAAAGTGACTTAAGATAAGAGTACCATATCATTGCCTCTCTTCTTTTATACTAGTAAAGACCGCGCGCGAAGGCAGAGGATTACGTTGCTGGTATTTGTATGGATTGGATACGCTTTTTTGGTGTTGCTACGCAAACAGCGAAATGACTTTGTTTTGGGAGCACAAAGACTGTGTCTGGTATAGCGAGTCTCTGAAGATTACAAAGTGGCAGCCATCGTGAAATGACATGGGATTTAGTCGAGGCACAAGCACACAGTTTTTATATACATAGATGTTTTTGCAGGGTTCCACAAAGGTTCCATGGAGATGTGTCTCTTACGACAGCATGAAACGATCGTATGAGTTCTCCATAGCGTTTAGTGTTTTACTTTTGATACAAAGTAAAGCAACCTGAAGACTATTCTAGTTAACCGACAGTCGGATGAAGGTTCATAGCCTGGATATCATGCAGTCAACAGGCGTGGCAGTCGCCATACACTCTGACGACAGTATCAGCTAGTTCAGGATAAGTTATATTGGACCAGTGCACCATGGCCTGCCTGACAGCTGCATCTAATTGAGTTCTTCGCAAAATGGGGTCGGCCCTATACAACCCAGGCGCCATTCCCACGCATACTGCAAAAGGCTGAGGTTGCAATCTTCTAGGTCGATGTGGCCTGTTCTGGAATTAGAAGAAGAAAATAACCGAACATGTAGTGTTTGCAGGAATAAACTAAAGTGGCAGTTTTGTGAGACGTACAGTCCTAAGTACCATGAAGGTGAGTATAAAGAACCAGCTGTTGTTAGCAGCAACATGTACAGGAGGAATGAGCAGTGAAGCATTTACCTAGATTGGATGGTAGCTTAGGGTCTGTCCTGAGCAGCATCCTGTGCCTGATGCTTGGAGCCAGTGGATCTTTGTCGGTGATTTGTATGTACATCTTTTTGACCAATTGTATAGAAGCGAATAAATTTTCTGTGTATTTCTTTTATCATTTTAGCTGGTGGGTCCTGGAACTTTACCTCTTAGCTTTTGGCTGCAGCAACGGAGCAGGTGGAGTATTCCTGTTATCCTGTGGTTTCTTCTTAATAGGCTGTTAAATGAGCATACACATCGCTATCCATATTTCTATTGTGTTTCTTAATAGGCTTACCTTATATCCGGCTTGTTCGGCTTCTTTTTTCAGCCAGAACCGTATTTTTCTCTCACAACATTTCAGCCAGAACAATGTTTCTCAGCCACTTTTAGCCAAATTTCAGCAAGCCGAATGGGGCCTAAATGAGCATACACATCGCTATCCATATTTCTATTGTGTTTCATCGGGCATATTTGTCTGCTAATTTTAGCTGCAATAGTGTACGGAAGCCTGAGAAGGAGGTGCTGAACCTCTGATTTCTTCCAGCACACTCATTCATTACATTGTATGTCAGAATGTACACAAAACCAAAAGCAAGCGGTTACTTTCTAATAGACTGTTAAATGAGCGTACACATCGCTATCTATAGTTCAACTGCGTTTCGTCGCGCATATTTGTCTGCCTATTTTTGCTGCAATAGTCTACGGAAGCCTGAGAAGGACGCGCTGAACCTCTGATTTCTTCCAGCACACTCATTCATTACACTGTATGTCAGAATGTATACAAAACTAAAAGCAAACTCTTTAGTACACAACAAAACCTTAGATCGATGATTCCTCCATTTCTATCCAAAGATGTTTGGTGCAACAGGTACACTGAACTATTAGACGGCTCCTGAAGTAGTTCACATACCTGACGAGAACAATGTAGCGACGCAGATACAATGAGGACGGAGCAATGCAGATCTCTGACAAGGACAACCGAACTGAAGAGAGAGCCTGAAACAAGACACCACCAAATCAAGTACTGAAAACAAACCAACGTGGGAGAACACTCCCGGGCACACCGAAGGAGGGAGAGAAAACAGGGGAGTCGCCTAGACCAAATGCAGCACGGTGCCAAGTAAGCCGAGCAGAGGTGGTGCAATAACGATGCAGACAGCCGCGGATGATGACCGAAACAAGCTCGGCGGGCGACGGAAAAAAAAGGCGCACACTGCAAAGAACAGGAAGCACAGACACATAAGATTCGACGGCCCCAAGCACACAGCAGCGCAAATCTGTTGCTCCCAAAAAAACAGGAAACGAAGACGTACCAGGCACAGGCGACCGCTGTATGACCAGAAAGATGAGGCAAACCCTAGATGTGGGCGGTCAAGACGCAACGGCGGCAGCTGGGGAGGGGAAAGGGAAGACCGGAGGGGGAGGCGTGCGGGAGCACAGGACCAACCCCCCCTCCACAGCCTCAACAACACAAGCCCAAGGCAACGAACAAAGAAAAGGACGTAAGAGGCGGGGGGAAGAAGACGAGGTACAGGCGTACAGCACCGGCAATGTGAGCGACGACGAGTTCAGACAGGGTGCAGCGGGAGGGAATCAGATGAGAAGAGGGGAGGGGGGGCTGCAAGAGCAAAGCGACGGAGCAAACACGGAGATGCGAAGACCCGGCGACGTAGAGAAGCAGAGCAGGAGCAACCGCAGTATCTGGAATTGTTTGAAGAATCTGCAGGCGACAGAGCACAGCCACAGGATGGGAGGATCCAACGGCGTAAGCAATTTTGGCTCGATTGTCTTATAATCTATACTTTTCAGCTTGTTTTTTTTAGCTGAAATAATATTTTTCTCTCACAACAAAATAGCCGGAATAATGTTTCGGCTTGTTTTTTCAGCGAAGCGAACGGACCCACAGTTTATAGGAGTAAATTATTATTATTATTACAAGGAGGCCGTTTACATCATACTCCCTCCGTAAAGAAAAAAAATACAATTTTAGCTCTAAATCTGGATACACGTCGTGTCCAGCTTCAAAACTAGAATTACGTTTTTTTTTTTCTGGACGGAGATAGTAGCTATGTATAGGCTAGCCAAGAAGTAACTTTGGAGCAATTGTGTCATCTCGGCGCATGTTTAGTTCCCATCCAAATTCCTAAAAAAGTGCTACAGTACCTATCACATTGAATCTTGCGATACGTGCGTGGAACATTAAATGTAGACGAAAAAAAACTAATTGCACAGTTTTGTTGGAAATTGCGAGACGAACATTTTGAGCCTAATTAATCCATGATTAAACACTAATTGCTAAATAAAAACAAAAGTGTTACAGTAGCCCAAAATACAAACTTCACGCAGCTAAACACGCACCGGATGTAATGGCCCGAGACCAATGAGACTTTATCTGTAAAAAAATATCTCATACTGGTGTTCAGGTGCTCGTACTAGAGGTTTCTGCTGCCTGTTCAGTTGTACAGGAAAGTTTTGTTTTGGGCGAAAGGAAAGCTTGACTTCAAGTGCAAGCAAACCATACCTCCCGAACTGTTTACCATATCAATGCTCGTCTTTCTTTTGCAGAAATCCTGTATTACTAATGTAGCAACCAGCGCTTCAAATTTGAACAAGTCGGTGTTTGTTCCAAGGCTTCTCTGGCTCGTGCTCAAGGCCCAGCACTTTTCTGACACTGCAAACCAGCGGAGTGCAGTGTGCAGAACCAGTAAAAAATTGGACCTCGCGCCAATGATTGCTGTCACCCTCGTCACAAATTATAGGCCTTTGTTTAGATTGGGACAGAAATCAGTATTCGGCACGGGCACCGTAACATTTTCATTTGTATTTAACAATTGTTATTCAATTATGACCTAACCAGGCTCAAAAGATTTGTCTCGTAATTTACAATCAAACTGTATAATTAGTTATTTTTAATCTACATTTAATACTCCATACATGTGTCCAAATATTTAATGTGATGGAGAAAGAGTGAAAAAACTTGCAATCTAAATAAGGCCTAGGTCGTGTTTGGTGTTGGCTTTTCTAGGTGCTTAGCTTTTGTCATTCACTAGATATACAATATCTAGATAGATAATAAAATTTAAGTATCTAGAAAAATCAAAAAACCTATAAATCGAAACGGAGGGAGGAGGGAGTAGTTTGCTACACCGACCAACTCTGATTCCATCAGCTATTGTAGTTGTAGAGTAAGCTAATTTCTTCCTGACATTCTATGGCACATGCTGCACAATTCATGTTTCATGAATATATATCTACAAAAAAATTGTTACACCCGCAGAGTTGCTGCAGCTAATTGTACAATTTACATAAACCCCTGGAGTGATGGATGGGCAAAGCAGCTTTGCAAGGTCTATGGGGTTGCTATCTGGAGTTGTCCTGAAAGGAAGTCAGGAAGTTATCAGTGTTTACACGATAATACAAGAATGGCAATGTTGAAATGGTTCGGACTTAATGCTTGATATATTTTACCTTCGAAGCAGCTGGTGTGGAGGTACTATCAGAATTCCTTGCCTCTGACTTTTCGTTTGAGTAACTGGCAAGAAGCCAACAGATTACACGTTAAGGTTCGAACGATAAGTTTAGCCACTTGGGATATTAGAAAAAGATGATGATACTCACGTCGACAGTATTGTGACCCAGACAAGCTCCACACAGTCGACCCATAGAAGTCTTTGCTCAACAGGAACCACACCATATGTAATTAAGTGCGCAAAAGGCCACAATTTCCATCCAGCCTGCAACAATCCAAACAATGTTTCAACTTTGTCGGGACAGGAAATATGACAGATAAAATAGCTAGTAGTGGTATTACAAATATTTGCAACAACATCATCAAGAGACAGGTATGTTATTGTTATGCCCTGCTGTGTATTCAGTTGAAAACCTCCATAATAATGAAGTGAGGGAGGGTAGTACAAGCACAGGCATAGAACGATGAAGAGTTACTAAATGTAGTGCTAAAACATTGGAAAAGCAATAAGGATAGTTCAGTTATAGCTATGAGTTATTATGCTACATGTTATGTCTGTAAAAGTCATCATTCTTTGCCTAGAGCCAGGAGCAAATATAGGAGTATACACTACCACTATCAATGGAGCAGACTTTCAAAGGTCCGACAATTAATGCCAAGGATATGGATAGTCTCAAATGAATAATTCATGTAATTAAGACTCAAGTTGCCAATATGTATAACAGTATGCCCGTGGGTTGTTCATAATGACAGTGAAAATAAGAAGCAGAACTCTTATGTTTAATGCTTGCCCAATTCCTACCCTGCGAACTGATTAAACTTATTCAGGGAAGATGAATCCTTACGGTAAGCATAGGCCAGAACGTGGATTTGAGCTCGCTGTAGATAGTGGTAGGTGATTCCAACCGAAGGAAACCCAAGACCACAAAGTAGATACTGTTCCAGATTGCAGACCAGATGGTCTGATCGAATGCAACCTTTGCAGGGACAACCCACCAATCCTTGAATGGGAACAGTGCCTGTAAACATAACAAAATTATGTACTCCATCAGGTCTGCCTTAGACAGCATGTTAGCTCTCCAAATTTGTTAAAAAATTAAAATGATATTCATATAGATGTGCCGATTAGTTGGCCTCTATCTGGGACCCCCCTTTTATTAAGTTGTATGCATCAACTTAAGAGCTCTATCTGATGCTGCTATGTGCCGGTTAGTTTACCCCTAAAGCTAAAAAGTCAGACTGATGGGAAAAGTTGGACAAATCACTTATACTTCAACACCTTAAATTAAAACCCGTTTTATTTGTTTTGTCAATTCATCAACTTAAGAATTTTATTAACTTTTTCGCGTGGTTGAAATACACTCCACACGGACAAATTTTACTAGAATGTACAAGCACAAGATAGCTATGCAGGTCATGTAACGATGGTTACCTCACAGATATGGTAGTAGTAATGTGAAAGTGACCCATGAAGCGTGAACCCAACAAGGCCAGACCGGAACATCCGAGCACGGTCGAAATCGAATATCGGCTTGCCTTCGTAGCACTGCAAGCATAAGCATCAGCGAAAACAACGGCCGAGTCAGTAATCGCGCTAATGCTTGTCTTAATGAGTAGTGGTAGAGCGGCTGCGCAAATTGAAGCGTGAAGGCACCTGTGCAATCCAGTCACCAAGGGAGTAGACGACGCCACTGATCATCATCTTGGCTAGAACCGGGTTGGCTTTGAGGGCCTCCTCGTATGCGGACCAGTTGTGCTCCGGCATGTAGCGCAGGATCTCGAAGATCGTCCACCCCTGTACCAGCAAACCAAATCAATACGACCCCCGGTACATGGCTCCGAACCAATCAGGAATTCATTAATTAAATCTGAAAGGGGATGAAGAAACAGAGGGGACTCACATGCCAGTAGTCCTGGTCGACGGTGAGCAGCTTGGTGAGCGCGTAGGTGCTGGCCCCGAGCACGATGGCCGTGTTGATGCCCCGGTCCAGCATCTTGTTGCCGTCGCCACCGCCGGAGGCCCCGGACCCGGAGCCCGACCCGCCGCCGGTGAAGCCCCCGCCGACGTCGCCCTGGAAGGCGAGCCCTCCGATGTCGAGCTGGCTTCCCCCCAGCGGCGGCTCGTCCCGCTGCTCCTCCAGCCTCCCGGGCACCGCCGCCTCCCCCTCGGCCCCCGGGCCAGGCAGCACGTCCGCCTCGTCCCCCGCCGCGGCGACCCGCACCCGCAGGGCGGCGCGCCGGAGCCGCCTGGCCGGCCTCGAAGGGAGCCGAAGGAGAGACGGTGCGGCGGAGGAGGGAGGGGCAGCCGCCGCCTGGAGGCGGGGGACGGGGAGGCCACTGTCGCCACGGACGCCGCCGCCATCGCCCGCGCGCGCTCCTCGGCTCGCTACCCGATCACAGGCGCGCTGACGCTCGTTCCGCCTCTCTTCCCTCACGGCCGCGCGCGCGCGCCGCTTTTAATCCGCGGCGGCTGCCTGTGGAGTGTGGATCTGGAGCGGGAGGGGCCTACTGTTGCTGGCCCTGTGGACGTGAGCCGCGCTTGCTCGCTCGCCTGAGACTGAGGGATCTGGGAGGGGAGGGTGGAATTTGGGGGAGAGACGTGAGCCACTTGTCTCAGCCGGCTGTGGGCCAGCACGGAAGATTCCAGTGAGCGAGAGTGGTATGATATATATTTTTTTTTTCTGTAGTCGTATAAAATCATTTCAATTACTTTTCTGAGCTGACATTCTATTTAGGCATGTATATTCTTCCCGTATTGTGGCTATAAACTTTTTTAGAAGATTGACAAAATTATCAGCTAGAGACGGTAATTTCTTAAACATCAATATGCATACTCAAACCTACGAACACTTAACACCGATGTTAAATTAGTCCAAGGTATATTTTTCCTACTCCCGAAAGTAGTTACTTGGCAAACCACATTGTGTGACTGTGTGTATGAATTCAGCAATGTTATTTAAAAGATTTCTATATGAGTATATGTATGACTTGTATAATTGTTTATTGTCTATCTCAAATTGTGTAAATATGTTGATGCCTCCAATTGCACTTAAAATTTATATAAAAATTATAATTTTATATGTATATTTCCTACAATAGTGCAAATAGTTTAAACCATCTAGACGCTAAAGAAGGTGGTTGGCCATTTAGGGTTTAGTGTTTAGCGTCTAGGATAGCTTTAATCAGGATTAAAGTATGTATTATTGCATGTTAAACAAATTATCGTTCCAGGCCTCGTTTGGTACGGCTCCACTTCATCGATGAAGCCGTTATTTTTTGTTTTAGCTCCATAAACAGCTCCATAGATAGAGTTGGAGCCGTTTTGTTAAACCGTTTGACAAAACAACTCTACATATAAAGTTTTTAAAAACATGCTTTCATGGAACCCTAGGCAGAGCCTACCAGGCCGAGGCGAAGCTACTATTTTTTTATTCCACCCTCCATATATCCTTTCTGAGAGCATAACCTAAGGGGTTCTTTAGGTGAGAAGTCGTTTGGTTTTATCCTATTTGGCATAAAACAGCTACAAAACGAGCTTCAGGAGCCGATGGAGAAGCCATACTAAATGGACCTAAGTTGCGTTTTTCCTTACCGGGTGACAACTAAACCCTTACTGGCCCATCCTAACATAGCCCCCTCTACCCTACATGGCAGCGTGTTTGGCTGGTAGACTGCATAGTGGATTTCGGATGGTTTTAGATGATTCAATAGTATTATGTGAAAGAGAATAAGCTTAAACAAGCTGAAACAATCCATGATATAAGCAACCGAACAAGCTTAGAAAGTCCGGCCTGCTTGTTCTCCAAATGCATTTCCCACATGTTTTTCTCCGTCGGGAGTTCAGACTAGTGCGTTATCTATTTCTTTCATCATCCAACCCATCCTTCCGATAATGTTTTTGGCCTGTCTCAGTGGTTATCTTTCTCGAAACCACGGGCACCAGCTAGAGTGAGAAGAGGCGGCGCGGCGAGTTCAGATGCGGAGGGCGCCATCTAATCTTGCGTGCCAAACAGCAGCTTCTCCGCACAAGATACTCAGACAAACACAGCCCGCCGTGCACGCGATCGACCGGAATCCCCGGTCGGACTCTGGGACTCTGGAAGCGCACCTCCTCCACATGGATGAAAGTCGGAGGCTCGGCGGCGGCGGCGGCACCCGTTCCGCTCCCATGAACCCACCCGCGACCGACTTGGCCGCCCGTGATCCACACGTCCTGTGCCGGCCGATTCGCGACTTGTGGACGAGAAATCACTGCGTACGCCGTACGTCTACGTGACTACGTCCCGCCGGCATCGGCAAAGGACTCGTCTGCTCGTTCTAGCACTGACCGGGCTGCTGCCTGGCTGCCAATGGTAAAATGCTCGCCTCTGGCGACTGCTACAAAATGGGTCGGGGAAAAAAGAGAAGGCCAATGCCCGGGTTTTCTTTACGAGTATACGTGCGGCTGTTGCTTTCGTGGAGGTGTTGGCCGTGTTCTCTTCCTGCCGGGAGAAATAGTGGCGTCCAGCTCGCCACCTCGACGCCTCAATGCCATGGGGAAACCACTGGTTCTGATTTGATCCAATATATCTACCATTCAAATAGAGGCAGTAGAACACAGCCACATCAAAATTCAACGGTAATGCTCAGGAGCGGACGTCCACCCGACTAGACACCGCGCGCTCACTTCCACCTCGCTGCTACCACTACTAGACTCAGGTTCTTTACCGAGTGTCTGAGGCACTCGGCAAAGACTAAATTGCACTCGGCAAAGAACACACGGTAAAAAATTGATCGACAAAGCCCTCTTTGCCGAGTGTCTTTTATCGGGCACTCGGCAAAGAAAAGTGGCCAATCCGCAGCCGGCCCGTTGATTTGGTGGCTTTAGAGTGCCAACTTTGAGGCACTCGGCAAAGATTTTTTTTTTTTAATTCTTTGCCGAAAGTGTCAACCCCGCAGCACTTTCGGCAAAGGTTTTTATTTTTTTGTGGGAATTCTTTGCCGAGTGCCCACCGGTCAAGACTCTAAGAAAGTTTATTTTTTTAATTCTTTCTTTGAGTGCCTTCACCCGACTCGGCAAAGTTTGATTTTTTTTTAAAAAAAATCTTTGCCGAGTGCCCTCCGCCGAAGACTCGGCAAAGTTTGATTTTTTTAAAAAATCTTTGCCGTTCTTAGAAAGTGTCCTCTGTAAGCACTTGACAAAGTTTGATTTTTTTAAAAAAATCTTTCTTTGAGTTCTAGGGCGACACTCGTTTGAATTTTTTTAAAAAATCTTTGCCGAAGTGCCCTCTCGCTTAAGACGCCTGCAAAAAGTTTGATTTTTTTAAATTTTTTTTTTGCCGAGTGTCCACTGGCCGGCACTCGACAAAGTTGGATTTTTTTTTAAATTCTTTGCCGAGTGCTATGGTCATGGCACTTTCGGCAAAGCTGGAAAAATGGTTTTCATCGGCCCATTTTTTTCACTTTGCCGAAATCTTGTGACCATGGCACTCAACAAATGGTTCTTCTTTGCCGAAAAAAACACTTTCGGCAAAGTGACTCAAAAAGGTCATTTTTAATTTTTTTACATTCCATCATGACAAATAAATTCATACAATCATATATCTCATCCATCACATATATATCTCATCGATCTACACATCCATCCGCACATATCACATCCATCACAATATATATCACATATATAGTAATAGGTGCTCAAGTCCATCCAAATAAATTCACAAGTCCATCAAAGTCCACAAGTGCATCACAAGTATATCAAAGTCCATCACCAAGTGAACAACAAATGAAAAAAATACAACGTGCACTCATCTCGTCCACTGCGACTGTGGTGAAGGTCCAGTTGCATCATTCAGAGGTGCATGAGGTGGATTATTCGAACCACCGTCAGATGGAGACTACACAAAGAAGTAAAGATTGCATGTGAGACAAGATTATTTAGATAGCTAATCTAGGAAGGTAGATGCCATACAAGCAAAGCACAAGCGAAAGAAAAAAAACTTTCATACTCACAGGAGTAGCTGCAGGACGCGAAGGCGGAGGTGGAACCAACAGTCCAGGTGGTATAGACAAGCCCACACGCTGCCCAAGTTCTTGTAGGAACTCCGTAATGTCCGTCAGCTTCTGCGCCTGGGCCTGCCGCTCGGTCCGCTCGGCGTCCAGCTGGGCCGCCAGCTCTTGACGTTGCCTCATTTCTTGTTCCAGCCGAGCCTGTAATATTTCACTCCAATATTTCAGTAATGCAAAGCTAAGTAAGGTGTGTAAAGATCAATGTATGACGAGTAAAACAGGAATAACCTCGAGTGCGTTGACTCGGTGCTGTGCAGCGGTCGACCGTGTGCGAATGGCCAGGCTCTCGCTCATGCTCCGTGCTCGGATCTGGGAGAGAGAGGGAGTAGAGGCCGTGTCGATGACGCCGTCGCCAAGCCAGGACCACCCATGCTTCTTGCCTTGCCCCGCCCTCATGACGGTCTCTCCATCGAAGTCCTGGGTGCTCGGATCGTGGTCTGGCCCATGGAGCGACCTCGCCACCTCAGTGTACTCACTGATGCGGGAGTGGACGCTCGGCTTCGTGTATGCCTAAAAGGTCCTTGTTTGGTTTTGGTAATTGAGTGACAACCTAGGTGGACTAATTGTGTTTATGTGAGATACACAGGTGATTAGTCCACAGGTACATGTGTATAAGCAACATATGCTATGAAGGTAACAATGGCTTGGAGATGTTACAAAACTCACACATGTGATGATGAAGGAGCTTAAATGCACATGAGACATGACATTGAGTCATGTGATCAAGGTGGAGAAGATCAAGACAAGACTTGGCTTGATGGACCGGTTGCAAGCGTGAAGGTCAAGTCGAAGGCTTTGGAGTGATAGACCACGTGGCGGTGAAGCTTGAGCAAGACTTGGCGCCGATGAACGATTACAACGGTGAAGAGCAAGTGAAGTCAAGATCGATGAACCAATATGATCACGTGATGATATGAAGTGGATCATATCATTGTTGATCATGTTGGTGCATGTGTTGCATCGACATTGGAGGAGATGGAATGGAATGCGCAAGGCAAAGGTATAACCTAGGGCATTGCATTTCACCGGTCATAGGTGTGTAGAGAAGTATATGACCGGGTTTAGGATAGATGGTCGTACTATCAAGAGGGGCAAACTTGTTTGCATATCGGTCATCTAGTGCCACTCGAGTGATCTAACTTTGCATCGTCGCTAGGATCGAGTGGCGTGGCAAGTTGAGTGGCTAACATCCTTTGGGAAATGATTGTGAAAAGCTAACACATACACATGGTGGTGTACACTTGGTGGTGTTGACACATTTACAAAAAAGGTGGTGTTTGCAGGGTTGAGATAGGTTTGGGTCCCTCTCTCCCT